AATAATCTAAATATTTATTTAATTTTGAAAAGCAATGCTTTTTCTCTTATCGATAAGACTTTATTTCTTTGATTTATACACCATTTCGTGTGTCAGACAGACATTCAATGTTTTATTGTATAAAATTGATACATATTTGAGTACATGTTTATATAATATCTAAATTTAACATTTAATTCAGTTTAATCGCAAAATTGTTTAGATTTACAAAAATGCCTTAAAAATTACTTTTAACTCAAGAAAACATGAAACGATAATTTTAGCACATATTTAGAACTACTCATTGTATTACAAACAGAAATATAAAGTTGTTTTATAGTGTTTTTATTGCATAATTAAATAATAGTTTCGTTTAATAACTGATTTATAGATTCATTAATTAAAGAATTGATAATTTGGACCACTTTTACAGCTGTTTTTAGTCATTTCTCTATTGATTTACAATTGACTCTCAATATGAATAAAATTCTGGCATTTATACAAACATTTAGAGCAAAAAATATAACATTTGAAACGTGTATTGAAAACAAACAGAAACTGTGTTTTGCGACAAAACTTAACGTTTAAAAAACAAATCATTCGACAATTTATTTAATTTATTTTTTGTATATTAATCTTTTTGTCTATAAATAAATTTAAAATTAGAGTTAATATTTTTCATAACCATATAACCTACTCTACATGTATTTGACTCGTTGTCAACTATTTTGTGATTAAGTTAGTAATTTTATAAATTTAATTTCCATTTAAAAAAATCAAAGCATTTGTCTTTATTTTGTTTATAAATTAAATATTTTAATAAAAAAATGTACATAAACTGAGCAACAGTTGATAAAACACTAATTCAATCATTATTTATAAATTTAATTTCCATTTAAAAAAATCAAAGCATTTGTCTTTATTTTGTTTATAAATTAAATATTTTAATAAAAAAAATGTGAGAAATTACTCCCTTTTTTCAATAATTTATGAAAGCATTTCTGCATTGAATTAAAAAATTCTGTTCGCGTTTTATTGTCACCAAAGCATCAGTTAAAGAGAAATTGGGATTAAGTTTTTAATAGCAGTTCTCAGTCTCTGTCTCCCTCTCAGTGCCCAAACATTTGTATCACTAATTGTTGCCTGAAATTCAATCACGAATTCATTAATTAAATTAATCATTCAATTAAAACATTTTTATTATAAAAAATTATTTTATTCTAATTTGGAAATTAATGATAAGTTTTACTCAATTTAAAAACATGAAAAAAGAAGGCAAAAACTAATTTAGTATAAAAACTCAAAATCATTATCCAATCAATCATTTAAAATATATTGAGTTGTATTTCATTCACTAGTATTTATTGTTGTTTACATTCGGGCGGTTTGTCTCCACTATTGGCCGCTTTGTTCTTATGAGAGGCGGCTGTCGGAGGATTCTTACCTCCTTTCCCTTTGCCCGGACTCTTAGCCGGAGAGTAGTCCTCATCGGCGTCCGAGTCCTCGTCGGAATCTTCTTCTTCGTCGTCCTCCTCGTCCTCTTCGTCGTAGTCTTCGTCCACATCCAGCGCTTCGCCGGTGAAGAATAGGACAGCTCTGGGAATGATTGACTGCCGCAACAGTTCTCCCATTTCCCAATCGGCCTGAAGTAAGTCATGGGTGTCGTCATCCAAATCGTCCAACTTTTCCGGCACTAAA